TACCTTCATTGCCGTGAGGCTTTAGAATAAGTCTTAACTCATCATCCTCTTCCAGTCCATTTGCAGTTGAAATGAAGCAGACTGTTCTCTGGACCATGTAGTCTGGCTGTAATTTCTTGTCCAGGATGCCACTGAATAAGCTTTCTTACATAGGGTAGCTTGGGAATAACGTGTACTATATAAACAAATTGCATCCTTAAATATAATTGTAGGAGGGAAATCTAGGACATCTTTCCATCTTCCATCTATATGAGAACTTCCAATTTCACAGTTTTGACTATTTCTTGTTAAGGTGCTAGAAATATGTGTGTGGGCAGGGGGGATAGGCTTTTAATGTGATACATTTGGAAAGGAAATACTCCAGTGTTTGGAACTACAGTTCTTACAGCCTAAAGTTCTTCTTGTGACACAATCTACTTCTCTTAAATTGGGACATGCTAAATACAGAAAGCTGGTTTAGTTTCAGGGCTCCAGGGAAACTGACCTAACTTAATGATGTCAAATAATAACTTGCATGGATTCTGAAAAGGGAAGAATAGAAGGTGGGACCACAAAAATATACACATTATTTTCTCTAGTCTCATTAAGTGTTTCGGTTTAGTATCAAGTGTTGGAATGTGGCTGACTGTCAAAATGCAGGGTTGCTGTAAGTTTTCTGGGTGGTATGGCCATGTTCCAGAAGCATTCAAAATGCTGTTGGAATAGGTTTTTGGGAGATAATATATTTGTTTTTCTGATTGTCATTCTGCGAGTTAGTGGCTGCCCATGACTTAAAGACCTCTCCTTAAACCCCACCCTGCTTCAGCATAAAAAAGATGCTATTGATCAAGAAAAAAATTTCTAGGATATGTTTTTATGGACTTCATTCCAGTTCATCAAATGAAAATGAGATTAAGTGGACTGGAGTCCATGAAAGCATATGCTAGAATGTTCTTATTCTCAATCACAACAATGCTACAGAATCAGTGTTTAATTGTCCATGAGAATGTAAAAGTTATTCCTGCTTGCTTAATGAACAACTTTTCTCATGAAGAAATGAAATGTTACATGAAAATAGCAAAACTCTTACATGAGTGCAAACCACTAAAATAATTTCAAGCAATAGTTGTAATAAAGGGAGGAGGTGGTAGAGGAAGGAAAAGAATGAAAATAGTGGTGTAGTAAAACTCTCAGGGCTGAAGAACCAAGATCAGGAGGAGGAGGAGGAGGAGGAGGAGGAGGAGGAGGAGGAGGAGAATCAGTATAATGGACAACATCATCTACCTGCTTTTCTTTCCAATAGGCTTCCCTGTTCCACATAGCAGCTGGGGGAGGATATACATTTCCTAACAACAATGCATTAGTTTGAGTTATTCCTTTTCAATATGAACTTATTGAAAGTCTTGAACGGGCAAGTGAGGCCCATTAGTTTAACAAAATATCACCTTTGGGTAGTGAGATGAAGTGCTAGACCTAGATAGTGGACATAGATCAACACAGCAGCCTGCCTTTTTTAACCTCCCCCTGTGGTCATGCCAATGTGACTGTCACAGTGATTGCCTATACTTTGAATGGGATTGCCTAGGCCTGGAAGAGTCATTACTATACAATATCCCAGAGTACTTGTAGGGTATCAGCACAAACACAAAACAATCTATGTGTAATGTCAAAATATAATGTCAAAAGAGCATATAGTATGCTATTTAACAAAATCCCGAGTACATAGCTCAATTCAGTGGCCCAAAACAAAATCAAAAGGAGCAACCGCTCTCAAATGTAACAGTTCCAGGTCTGAACAAGGGTACCACTGTATATAGGCTTCAGGGATACATACAATGAGACAAATCATACACAAAGTAAGCATAGAGTCATGAGGCTATATGTATATTGAAGTCAATGATGAAGATGGAGCACCACTCTCAAAAATCTTCATGGAATAAATCCAAATCAAGTCCAGTGAAAATGGAGCACTGCTTCTCAAAATAAGTCTCTGTAGGAAAAGTCCAAATGGTATTCAACAGGGGTGCCCGGGTATTTTTGTACCCTGTTTCGGGGAAAGAGATCCCCTTCTTCAGGAGTTGAAGTAATCAGCAACTCTAGACTCTTATCTATAACAAGATATAACATAACATAACATAGAGTAACAAGTATTCTCCAGCAAAATTACAGAAGTAAAAATAATCCATACAACAAACATATATACTCACATCATGCCAGATAGCATTTACAAAAAGTGACTCTGCTTGTAGTACATTCACACTGCAAGTAATTCTGAAGGTTCATCCACAGGTTTATAAAGAGTAATTAGAAACTTAAAGGAAACAGCTAAAATTAAGTGACTCATTAAGTCCCTGAGGGGAAAAGGTTTTCAACTTAAAGGTCCAATACATTTCCCTTTGGGATAGTAGTTTTTCCAAGGCCATATGGGGTTTTGGAATGATGCATTCCAGAGCACAAAATTTAAAGGAGTTGGGTGAATGTTTGTATTGTGTAAAGTGTGAATATAGGAGGGACTCAGTAGATAAACATTTTATTCTGGATTTATGTTCAGACATTCTAATTCTCAAAGGTCTGGTTGTTTTTCCAATATACCACAAACCACAGTCACATGCTAAAAGGTAAATTAAATTACTGCTGTTGCACGTGGAAAAATGTTTAAGCGTGGTGCCCACTTTGTTCCTGTAGTTGTGGACCTCCTTGGTTTTCCATGATTGTGGACAACATTTTCAGCGTCCACAGGGGTAATGGCCTCTCAAAGTGCTTTTAGGTGTAGTGGTAGAAGTGATTAAATCTGTATGGATTAACAAGTCTCTTATATTTCTGGTGCGTCTATTACCGAAAATGGGTGGTTTTTGGCAACCTGGGATATCTTGGAGAAGATGCCAGTGCTTTTTAATAATCTGGGTGATCTGTTTGGAATAATTCTTGTGTCCAAATAATTTGATTTTTTATGGGTTTAGGGCATTCTTTCAGTAAAGTAGTCCTATCTATTTTATCAGCTTTGATTAATGCTTTTCTTATTACATGTTTAGGGTAGCCTCTGTTTCTGAACTCATGGCTTAAAGTAATGCTTTCCTGAAAAAACTGTTCCTTGGTGCTTGAGTTACGTTTCAGTCTGAGGAGCTGTGAAAATGGAAGATTGGTTTTTAAGCTAAAGTGGTGGAAGCTGTTGTAATGAAGATATGAATTTTTATCTGAGGGTTTTCTAAAATTCTTGACCAAAAGTTTATTGTGATGTTTATATACTGTAACATCCAGAAAATTAATATGTGACAGGTTGAAATGGCTGGTGAACTTGATGGACATATGTATAGTGTTGATCCAATTTGAAAATCCTACTGCGGCCTCGGTTGATTTAAATACCATGAAAATGTCGTCAATGAATCGTCCGTAATATATAATATTGGTGTGATACATATTTAAAGATAGATTTAATAATACAGTATTCTCTAAATTTGCAATAAATAAATTGGCAACAGAGGGGGCCAATGGACTGCACATTGCCACACCAAAGATCTGAAAGTAAAATTGATTTTGAGAACAGAAATATTTTTTCTCTAAAACTATATCTAACAGGTCCATCAGGAAATGTGTGGGTGGATGTAACTTGGTTCTGTTATGGAGGACATTCTCTATGGTGGTACGGGCCTCATCTAATGGAATGTTGGTGTAAAGTGAGGTGACATCAATAGTTACTAAAACACTATCCTCCTCTACTTTGAGGTTTTCTATAACATTAATGAAGTGCTTAGTGTCTTTGATATAGGAGTCACAGAGAGGGACAAAGGGTTGGCAGAAAGAGTCCAGATACTTAGCGACTGGTTCCAACACTGAAGATGAACCTGAAATAATGGGTCGGCCTGGGGGGGGGGGGGGGAATAACACCTTTATGAATCTTTGGTAAAGTATAAAAGATTGGTATTCTAGGGAATTCTTTCTGAAGATATTTAAATGTGGAAGAAGAGATAAATCCCAGGGATAATCCCTCTTGGCACACAACCCTAATAAGGGAGTGTATGTGTTTAGTGGGGTCTGTAGCAACAGGTTTATAAAATTTACTATTAGATAACTGGCAGTTGATTTCCTTAATGTAATCTTTTTTGTTGAGTAGCACTATAGCTCCCCCTTTGTCTGCTGGTTTCCAAACTACCTCTTTAAGGTTACTCAGTTTATTCAAAGTGGTTTTTTCAATGTCAGACAAATTAGAATGGAATGGTTGTCTGTGGGTGATTAACTTATTGAAGTCCCTCTCTACTACTTTTTCAAAGCACTTGATATGTATGCTGTCTGTGGAGGGGCAAAACTTGCTTTTAGGTTTGAAGGGCTCTATGGTGGAATTGGGTATGCTGTTTGTGAAAACCTCTCTTAGGCGGATGGTTCTAAACAATTTAAATAAATCTATGCGTGCTCGGAATGCATTAAATTTTGGGGTGGGAACAAATGATAGACCTTTATTTACTACTGACCTTTCTAAATCTGATAACTTGTAATCGGATAGATTGACAATCAAGTCAGGCGTCTTCGATTTTGGCCCCGTCGAAAAAAAGTAGTGGAGGAAGACCGGGAAGGATGATCGGTTCATATTTCTTTGTCTATTAGATCGTCTTAAAGAAGGTGTGTCAGAGGCTTCAGAGCTTTCAGTTGTCCTCCCTGGGTCTTCCTCTGTGGAGGAATCTGCAAACTGAGAATGAAAACTGACTCTTCTCCTAGACCTTTGAGAATTAGAATGTCTGAACATAAATCCAGAATAAAATGTTTATCTACTGAGTCCCTCCTATATTCACACTTTACACAATACAAACATTCACCCAACTCCTTTAAATTTTGTGCTCTGGAATGCATCATTCCAAAACCCCATATGGACTTGGAAAAACTACTATCCCAAAGGGAAATGTATTGGACCTTTAAGTTGAAAACCTTTTCCCCTCAGGGACTTAATGAGTCACTTAATTTTAGCTGTTTCCTTTAAGTTTCTAATTACTCTTTATAAACCTGTGGATGAACCTTCAGAATTACTTGCAGTGTGAATGTACTACAAGCAGAGTCACTTTTTGTAAATGCTATCTGGCATGATGTGAGTATATATGTTTGTTGTATGGATTATTTTTACTTCTGTAATTTTGCTGGAGAATACTTGTTACTCTATGTTATGTTATGTTATATTTTGTTATAGATAAGAGTCTAGAGTTGCTGATTACTTCAACTCCTGAAGAAGGGGATCTCTTTCCCCGAAACAGGGTACAAAAATACCCGGGCACCCCTGTTGAATACCATTTGGACTTTTCCTACAGAGACTTATTTTGAGAAGCAGTGCTCCATTTTCACTGGACTTGATTTGGATTTATTCCATGAAGATTTTTGAGAGTGGTGCTCCATCTTCATTATTGACTTCAGTATACATATAGCCTCATGACTCTATGCTTACTTTGTGTATGATTTGTCTCATTGTATGTATCCCTGAAGCCTATATACAGTGGTACCCTTGTTCAGACCTGGAACTGTTACATTTGAGAGCGGTTGCTCCTTTTGATTTTGTTTTGGGCCACTGAATTGAGCTATGTACTCGGGATTTTGTTAAATAGCATACTATATGCTCTTTTGACATTATATTTTGACATTACACATAGATTGTTTTGTGCTTGTGCTGGAAGAGTCATTACCAAACAAATGAAATAGTATTGCACTAGATGGGGTTCTGGTTACTGATGAGCAGAGCTTAAAAAGATTTTGTAACTATAGCCCACTGAATTTATTAGCCGAGGATTCTTGGTGTTGTATTAACGGGGGGGGGGGGGTATTTTCTGAACATTGCATAAAAGGAACCTCCATAGGGAGTAACCAACCTGATATATTGAAGCATGACTAATGAGAGAATCTGCAGTATTTTCAGACTATATTTTGATCAGGTGAGGGATCCATTTATAAATCTCTGAGATAATGGTTCAAATACAATGCACTGGGCCATTATTTGAAGAGAATGTTCCTTTTGGCCAACATCAGGATCAGATTTAGTCCTAGGCATCAGAAATAGGAAGGACTACTGATTTTTGTAGCAATACAGTTGATTCTCATTCCCAGGGCAGCTCACTATTAATGCTGTTTACACTTCAGGTTTCTTGAGATTCAGTTCTCTATCAAGGTCACTTGTAATATGCAGAATACAAAATCAGTGACAGATGGTCATAATTTGGAACATATAACACAAACATTATCAATTAAACCTGAACCTAACCAATGTAGTCTGCAATTCAAGGATTATGTAGTGCTAACTGAGCTTGGATTATTCATATCTTGGTGGCTACATATCAGCTATTTACTGAACTGTTTGTGAAACAAAACGGTATTATTTGAACAAAAATATACTGTTTTCCCGCAAAAACAAAAAAAACTTACTAATATAATGTGATTATGTTGCAAGGTTCTTTTGGTTCTGTAGCAAAGCTGAGGTTGGGACTAGTTGTTTAACTTCTGCCTTGCGAATTCAATTATTATTCTAGAGAAATCCACTACTACTACTCACATTTCCCAAAGCATGGATTTGGAGATCTGTAGTCCTCAAATGCAATTTTTCAAATGCAAAAAATCTGTAGAAAGAATGAGAACAGCCTAGTAAACAAAGCATGTACATCTGTTGATTTGGAAAGCAATGGCTTTTTCTGACACTTATCGGCTGAGGTGGTAATGGTGCTAAAGAATATTTCAACAGATCAGAAAGTAATCTATCAAAATAGTTTTTGACTAGATTTTTAAGCAATTTAAAACCTGGCAGTTTGACTGGAAGCAAGTTTGACTGGAAGCTTTGAAAAGACATCACAGCACCTAAAATCTGAGATAGTGAACAGTTGAAGACAATTAAAAAAAGTGTAAGGAAGGTGGACCCAAAACTCAATTGTCTCAAAGCAGCAAAGCAAAATAGCCAGTGGAATGAGATGCAAGGAGCTAAGGGAAAATGGGAAGAAATTAGGGAAATATTTTGATGCTACATACTGGGGAAAAAAGGAGTCCTGGAGACAGAGTAAGGTAAAACCATACATAAGGACAAGGCAGGGTTTGTCAGAAAGGAAGTATGAGGAACAAACCTTGGGTGCTTGAGACAGTGAACCAAAGGCCAAAGGGAGCCCAAGGCTATTAAGTCAAAAACACAGAGTGTGAGCAATATGTATGCCTGCTGGTGTCATAGAACTGTAACATCTGCCATCTTTGAGGATTGTCTCTGCTTGCTGGGCCTGTGGGAAAATGAAGTACAACTTTTGGTTTTCAACATAGAAGTTGAATCTTGTTGAGGGAATTCTTCCATCCGAGGCTTCCATTGTGACTGGGCAAACTTAAGAGAACAGCCAGTTATAACCAATGATTTGCCTGCAGGCATCCAGTGTATAGGCTCACTGCTTCCGCTTGAAAGAAAATGGCTTTTGCAAAGGCATCTGCATATGAAGGCTAGCAGCCACTGTACCCAAGAGGCTAGTACCTCATCTTAGCTTTTGCTCTCAATGCCACTAAATAAAATAAATCTTAATCAGTTCCAAAACTTCCAAGCTCTTTCATTATTGAAGTCAGCTTTTTACGAGTTTTTCCACCCTCCCTTGTATAACGGACTATGAAAACAGCATTAATTTTGAAAAATAACAAATATGTGGAAAATTTAAAATTAAAATAGAGGATTGAAAGACTCCTCCTACACATTTTATTGAAAGAGAACATTCTTAATGGGATCTGCAGGGCATTCATCATAAAAGCTTATGAAAGCTCCACTCCAGGGGCATAATTTTAACTTAGGCAGTTTGCGAGGGAAGAAATGGCTTGATAGGTTGAAAACTTAACTCACTGTATGATTGCTTTTGACACAAAGAACCTTTTTATTGGGCTACACATCAAGCTGCCAGGAAGTAGTTCGTTTAACCCACCTAGGGTAATCATACACGCTTAAAATTAGGTGGGCTTCCTAATTCAAATGAAACCTTTGTAAAATTGGATGCTTCAGTTTCTGAGCATTTACAGCATCAACACAATCCTCCTTATAGGTCCCAGATGACTAACTGACCTTGGCAACTCATTCAAATGGTGCAATGCCCTCAGAAGAGGGTTTCATTTGCCCAGCACAAAACATTGGGGCATTAAAACCATACCCTGAAAATTAATTTGTTCTAACATGGTGCCTACTTTGTTTAAAATAATTGCAAGATAAAAGTAGTCTATTTCATTTATTGCTAGGATCCTTTGATACAGTGTAAAATAACCAGTGTGTGTTTTCACTTTTGATTGATCAATTAACATTACATGGTTGTGTCAGTTTCATATCACTTTGTACAGTTTAAGGAATCCTATGATTTTCTGTTATAAAGCTCTATTTCAGTACCCTGGATTATAGTTCCCAAAGTACCCTGAGTACCTTGGTGTCACTCCAATAATGTATCTTGAGAGAAATAATTCAAGTAATTCAAGAGCAGCACAAAGTACAAATTACAAATCTCAGGACACATAGAACAGTGTTGCAACAATTAAAATGTTGTGAAACTGTTAGAAATGTGAACAACGACTAATGTGCTGACGACCTGGCTTATATGTATCTGTGATGTTGATGATGTATATTGTATACTGTTCATTGAAATATGTTTTTAATGTTTTTGATAATGCATTGTGTGTTGTAAAATTGTATTTGACACATGTTGTGAACTGAATCTGAGTCCCTCTCGAGGTGAGAAGATCGGTATAAAAAACCCCTAAATAAATAAATAAATAAATAAATAAATAAAAATAAATAGGTGTGCTACACTATACAGTTACAGCAATTTAATGCCATGCCACTGTTCTATCCTAAGGCATCCTACAGTTTGTAGCTTAGTACTACAGAACTCCAGTGAACTCACCTGAATGAGTTCCTGGGAAGAGGGATTGAATATTAAATTAGAGCACATTGTAAAAGAGATGAACATCCAAATGCTGATATATTCTTGATATACTCTCGCATATACATTATGTCTATCATACCCAAAGGACCAGGAATTTATTAGCTTCCCCCCCCCCAGGTAATTCTATAATATGCTTCTACCAGAAGTTACCATAGAGTTGCCCTAGAAGATATCTAGGAATGTTATAGATCTTCTAGGGCAATTTTAGGTTACTTATGACAGAAACTATTCCTTTCAGTAGGCTGCCTATTATCTACAGTTCAAGAACATATTCCCTGCAGATAGAGAGACTGAACTGTAATCCAGTATAATTATCACCACTGCCATCTTCAGTATTTCAATTTAATAGATCCTTTTTTCTAGGAAAAGGGTTTCAAAACATTTCATAATCACTGACCATACTTGATGTAAACTGTGGCTTCATGTGAAGGATCACAAATTCCTCATCCATGTTTCATATGAAATTACCTCTCCAAACAGGTGGCTACTAGCAGCCTATCACACAGCAAAATTAAATTCAAAACTCAAAAATTACAACAGCAAAACAACAGAGAGTAAACAATCAGGCAMATCAATTCACCCTCAACAAGAGATTCCCCCCAGGCGCTTCCAGGCCATTGAATGCAAATCAAGGTGATTGTRAAGATCCCTTACCTTGCCAGCCGGGGTGGCAGGGCCTAGGAGAGGCAGGCTAGATTAGTTTMAGCTTAGAAGGCCTGGCAGAGGGCAGCAGGAGCCATCTTAGTTTAGGGAAAAGCTCCAGTTCAGAGAGGGGGAGTGGCCYAGGCCTGAGCCAGCCCTGAAACAGCCAGGATTGGTTTKTTAAAGGGGGGCGGAGTTAGACTGTTGGAGGGAAAGAGAGAAGCTTATTTTGTCAGTTCAGTTCAGTTCTGGTTGATGTTAGAGATAGAGCAGGGTTAGAGAAGCTACTAGGAGTTCGTGATTAGACTAGGCAGTTTGCCTGTAGTTGGCACAGCAAAGTAGGCTGTGGCAGACTGGTTACAGCTATTTTAGAGAAGAAATAGCTGGGTTGTGTATAGGAACTGTAACAAAGATAGAACCATTCTCTCATGCAACCGTTACGCTTATAAGAACAAGAACACTTTAATTGTAACAGCCAAGCTTATGAACCTGCATTYACTTCATTCTGTAACTTTTATTCAATAAACCTTTCYTGTTATTTTTGAAACTTAAGCCTGAGTCAAGTGCCATTTGTGGATCTAGTCCCTTTTCTTTTTAAATCAACCTCACATGGTTTTCTTCAAAGAAGCCCTTCTAAAGGTCACAGTACATGGTGGTCTAAAAAGCCTTTTACTATTTTTACCAGCTAAAGGGTTCCTGTTCATTTATACTTATGGTGGCAGCGAAGGTTTAAATAAAGAGACATTCCCTCAAGTGTTATCAAGGTGCCAAAGTGGTGTGAATTCCTTATTGAAGGAGGGACAGTGTTGGGATCTGTTTGCCCCCTGTCCAGATGGCCATTAAGGAGTCTTTATAATTGGTGTCAGATGGTGGGATTGATCGAATTGCCATCTGCCCAGCCTTTATAATTGGTTTGCAGCGATGTGGGATTCGTGTAACATCTCAATCCAGAGCATTTTAGTGAGAATCCTGAGATAAATTTTTGTCGAAACGGGATACTAAGAATTACCTCAGAGACAGAACACCTCTAGCGCCATTTTAAAACACATTAGGCACCATGGCACCACCAAA